TCCGTGTCTTTTTCTTTTTTAAAAATTTTTTTTCTTTTTTTTCTTTTTTTAAATTTATTTCTGAGAGAGACAGAGATAGAGAGACAGCGTGAGCAGGGGAGGGTCAGAGAGAGAGGGAGATAGAGAATCTGAAACAGGCTCCAGGCTCTGAGCTAGCTGTCAGCACAGAGCCCGACATGGGACTTGAACCCATGAACCGTGAGATCATGACCTGAGCCAAAGTCAGATGCTTAACCAGCTGAGCCACCCAGGTGCCCCTTCCATGTCTTTTTCAGGTCCAGCAATTAATTTTATGACCATTGTTCTAAATTCTTATTCATGTTGCTTATATCTGTTTTGAACAGTTCTTTAGCTGTCATTTCTTCTTGGAATTTCTTTAGAGAATTCTTCCATTTTGTCATTTTGGCTGCCTTTCTGTCTCTTGTTAGTTTTAAAAGCTTATTATGCACTCTACACCTGTGAGTACTGCTGTATTAAAGAAGGCTCTTTGACTGTCCAGGGCCTGTCTGTTCCGGAATTGTTCTTTGAATGGTGCCTGTTGGTCTCTCTTGTTGAGACTTTGGTTATTTTATTTCCCTATTTGTAGTGGTATCTGAGACTCTCTACCATGTGTACTTTGGCTTGTTTCTTGAGGTAGCTCTGGAAAAGAAAACAAACAGATGAACACACAGGGAACATAGGCACACAAAAGCACCAACAAATCTAACAAGCAAACCGAAAGGGAACCAGAAAAAAAAAAAAAAGGAAAAAGAGAGAAAAAAAGAAAAGATGGAGGAAGAACAAAGAATAAAAATAAAAAAAGGAAAAAGAAAAGAAAAAAGACAAACACCCAAAAGACGAAGGACAATCTAAAAGGATAAAACCAGAATTCCCAGCTACAAATAAAGAGCAGGGTGTATGCAGTGCTGATAGAAGAGCATATACAAAGAGAGTTCTGTATTTCTCCCTGACAGAGCAGTGAGAAAGCTAAATTGGAAGTGAAATGACCAGGCAGAAAGACCAAGAGGCTTAATTCAGAGAGAGAAAGAGGAGAATATGGTAAGAGGCGAGAAGAAAGAAACAAAGATAATGTTACTCTGAGAAACTATGTAGTCTGATCACTCCAGAGAGAGAGATAGAAAGGCAGAGGTGGAGATGTAGAATATACATCTAGAAAATGGTTTAAATGTAACTGTTTAAGCAAACCAATGACCAGAGTGTCCAGTCCAGCAGAGGGGAGGGATACGAATGAGACAAGGGAATATATATGAATAGAAGGAATTGATCTAGAATTAATCATGGCAGTGCATCCATGTTGGATCTTGCCCCAGGCTCAAAAAAAAAAAAAAAAACAAACCAGCTCTCTAGCGGGGATGGGTGTGGTTTGGTGTAGGATGCTCTTAGCCTCTGCTCCAGCAAGCCTCTCCCTGAGGTCCCACCTTGGTGGTTGTAGGAAGAAAAGTGGCTGCACCCCAGTCCTTCTTGAATCAACTCACTGTTTTGGGTCCCATCTCCCTGTGCTGCAGGCGTAACTGAGGTGGGCTGTGTTCTATGTCCCAAGCCATGCCTCGTTTCCAGATCTTAGTCCACGCGCCCCATTGATACCGCCCGAAATATAAACCTGCAGGCTGAGTCTTTCCAAGCAATTTCAAGCAGGCCGCTTTCCCGCTGGGGATTGAGCCGGAAGACCGGCGGAGCGGTTTCAGGCCACGCCACTTCCCCTCTTGATCCAGCTGGAGAGCAGAGGAACAGTTTCTCCTGGTGCTGCCTGGGCTTGGGGCGTCCAGCTCTAAGTCAGCTCCACAGCTGAAAACAGGATCATTCTCTGTCCCAAGCCGAGGTTTTTCTCTTCTCCAGGGACAGGGACAGTTCTTTGAGCAGTTTCAGCCGCTCTTTCTTTTCCCTGTGGCTCCCCGCATAGGGGGCTCCCTCCCCTCCCTCTGTGTCTCTGGGTCCCGGCTTCAGGCTGGCGAGTGAAATGTACGGAGCTCCCTACTTCTTTGCCATCTTGCCCAAAGAGCAGGATATTCTTAAACATAGTAAAGATGTCTTCTGGTAGTTGTCATGACAGAGGTATGGCCATTGGACTTATCTTCTGATAAAAAAGCTGTACAGCTGGACAGATTATATGAAGAAACGGTTTTCAAGCATTGGACAATAGGCAGGACAAGACTGTTATCCTTGAGAGAAATGAATTTGAGATGGATTATAGGCCTAAATGTAAAAAGTAAAATTATAAAGCTTCTAGAAAGCAACATAGAATATCTCTGAGCTTTTACGGTAGGCAAAGATTTCTTAGAGGACACAGAAAACATTAACTTTTATAGTTAATTAAAAAATTAAGTTAAAAAGTTAAAGAAAAAAATGATAAATCACACCTGATGAAAATTTAAAATTTCTGCCTAGCAAAAGCCTTGTGAAGAAAATGAACAGGCGGGCCACACACTGGGAAAACGTATTCTCAATACCCATGTCTGAAAAAGGACTTGTATCCAGAAATATGATAAACATCCACAGTTCATTAATAAAAAGATAATTTAAAAATGGGCAAAAGACTTGATCAGAAATCTTACAAAGATATATTATGAATGACCAATAAATTGCGTGAAAAAGTGCTCAATATCATTAACAATCAAATAAATGCAAATTAAAACACAGCGAGGTTCCACTACACAAGAATGGCTAAGAGTAATGGCAACAGCCAGTGTTGGTAATGGTGCAGATGATCTGGAAATCTGATTTGTTGCTGACAACACTGTAAAATAGTGCAGGTACTTTGAGAAACTGATGGCAGTCTTTTTGTGGGTTAAATAGGCAACTGTCCTATGCCCCCACAACTCTACTGTTAGGTACTTAGCCAACAGATATGAAAACATTTGTCCCCAAAAATACTTGTGTGAGAATGTTCTTAGCAACTTTATTCATGATAGTCCCAAATTGGAAAAAATCTCAAATGTTCATCAGTAGGAGAATAAACAAATTGTGGTGTATTCATACAGTGGAATTCTGCTCAGCAATTAAAAGGAATAAACTACTAATCCATGAAGCAACATGTATGATTCTCAAACATGTTGAGGGGGGAAAATGTCAGCGTTATTGTTTGAATCCATTTGTATGATGCTTTATAATAGGCAGCTAATCTATGGTTATAGAAAAAAACAGCATTTGCTTTTGTCTGGTTGTGGGAATAGGATGGAGGTTGACTTGCAAAGTGCAGAAGGAAAGAAACTTTCTGGAGTGATAGAAATATTCCAGGGGCATCTTGGTGGCTCAGTCAGTTAAGCATCTGACTTCGGCTCAGGTCATGATCTCACAGTTCATGGGTTCGAGCTCCGTGTTGGTCTCTGTGCTGACAGCTAGCTCAGAGCCTGGAGCCTGTTTCAGATTCTGTGTCTCCCTCTCTCTCTGACCCTCCCCTGCTCACGCTGTCTCTCTGTCTCTCTCAGAAATAAATAAAACATAAAAAAAAAAAAGAAATGTTCCATAGCTTGATGAGGGTGTGAGTAATGCACCTATGCTTTTGTCAAAAACTCCTTAAACTATGTTCCCTCCACACACACACATTATTGAGCTATACCCTTAAGACTTTTGCATTTTACTGTATGTAAATTATACTTCAAAAAATATTAAAAGTCAGTATAACAAAAATAAAAATAAGAGGGGATAATTTAAGTGATTTGAATTCTAGTGTTTCATACGGAGTCGATACAATTTAAAGTTGGTGATTCAAGGAGAAATGGAAGGCCTGTGATTTCAGGTTAAGGAGTAGTTAATCACCAGATGAACTAAAAAGCCCTGTTTAACAGGTTGCCACTAGAGGTGGAAGGGGTTGGAATGACGATCATTATAAATTATAAAGATTTTCATTATAAGTCATTTTTTTTTTACCATATGTATGGCTCATATTACATAGATTTGCTTTTGCAAAGATGTATTTTTCGTAAGATGGTGGAAGTGCACTGGACTCAGGAGTAACCAACCATAAACGATGGACATAGCATTCTTTGTCTGTAACACTTAACTACAGACTAGAGTGTTTTTGTTTTTGTTTTTTAATTTTTAGAGAGAGCTGGAGTGTGAGTGGGGGAGAGGGGCACAGGGAGAGAGTGAGAATCTTAAGCAGGCTCCACACTCAGCACGGAGCCAGATGTAGGGCTCAGTCTCATAGCCGTGAGCTCATGACTTGAGCTGAAATCAAGAGGCAGACCCTTAACTGAACTGAGCCACCCAGGTGTGGCTAGAGCGTTTTTTATTCATAACCTTCCTGGGGATTTTGAACAACACTTTGAAATGATGGCACCTGTTAAGTGTGCCATAGCAGTGGGTTCTCCATGCTTTCCTGCCTCAGCCCTTGTGATGGATATTAAGTTTTCTCACTGGTGACTGTTGCTTTCAGCTCCAACGATACTTAACTGGGCTGGAGAAGGAATGCATAGTTTGGAAAAACAAATTGTGATATATCACCAGCAACCTACAAGAATTCTTGGTTGGTTTCGGGTAACTCTTCACCATATTTTTTTGGCTAGCTCTTACCTTCCTAGGATATTTCTAGTACTGGACTTGCATAGAGTAGGTGCTCAAAAAATGTTTGTTAAAGGAATAGTTTTAAATAGAAACTGGAATGTAATGGAGGAGGTGGCTTTTGCCATTTCTGTCCCACCCTCACCTACTACATGCATTTTGAAGAACACAATAAATGACTTGCTCATCTGTGTCACTGCAGCAGTGAATCACTGGTGATTGTTAGGAGTTGTCAGGAGCTGCCAGGAGCTGTGCTTGTCTTCTAAGAAGTAGCTTTAGCCTCCTTGGTACTGAAACGTTTCTGGGCTGACCCATTTCTCCAGAAGACACAGACGCTTGTCTCCGTTCAATAAGTCTGTGTTAATATTTTCCACATGTCCACTCCTTCAGCAACACGGTGACACTTTTTGACATTTGGGTGCAGGGAAATACCTCTGTAAGTGAAATAATGGGATGTCTCATGTAATTGTGCCTTTTTCTGACCTGGGTGAAAAGGACAGAAGACTAAGCACATGGACTGGAAATTGGAAGGGAGTGCTCGGAAAACAGACTCACGCGTGCCACAGGAGCAGGAGGTCGTCCTAGAGGACACAGGCGAAGACAGCATCTCTGAAAGCTTCCAGCTTCTACAGATTGATGTGGAATGCGAGCATCGGGGGAGAGAGACGCTGCCCACAGGCAGTGCGGTGTGGTGCTCAGTAAGTGCAGCGAGTTGCCTGGCCGTGGGCTTTGCGATGATGCTATGTCCCAGAGACCCCTGTTCTGAGGGTAGGTACTAGCAACAAAAAGACTAGGAATGAGTTTGGTGTGTTCCAAAGTTGTGTGAATTTCCTACTAACTGGTGTAAAGTTTCAGTTCCATTTGAGTCATAAGAAAATTGCAAGAGAAATTTTTTTTAAGTTTTTATTTATTTCGAGAGGGGGAGTGACAAGAGAGAGAACAAGAGAGAGAATCCCAAGCAGGCTCTGCGCTATCAGAACAGGGCCCTATGTAGGGCTTGAACCCATAAATTGTGAGATCATGACCCGAGCTGAAACCAAGAGTCGGATACTTGACCAACTGAGCCACACAGGCAACCCCGGAAGAGGAATTTTTGATACACCTTAGAAGGATCAGGAAATCTAAACTCTGCTTTAGGCCCTGTCCCTAGTACATTTGCTTTGGGCATATCACACCTCTTTTCTGGGACTCTGCTTTCTCTGAACACAATCCAGTCTATTTTTTTTCAAGACTAATATCTTTTTTTCTCTCCTAACTTTAAATTTAATTAAAAAAATAAGCAATTGTTTTTGAATATTCATTTTTGTTGTTGTTGCTTACCAAGTTCATAAAACAATTTTGTTTTCTGGATAACATAAGAAAAATGTCCAAAGAAAACAGAGACACTGGGAAAAGATAGTTGCAGCAAAGAAGAGCAAAAGAAAACAAGAAAAAGAAAGAAGAAAGGCCAATCGTGTAGAGAATTCAGGTAACAATAAATCAGATTGCTGGTGTAGTCATATTTATCTCTTTACGGACTAGTATCTGCATGTTCTTAGGAGAGTAGGAATATTGTTTTTAAGTAAAACAAACATCTTGGAGGGAGGACCTATTGTTCTATTTTTGGGGAATCAAAGTTTCAAAGGCAGCAGAGTTTAAGGCTACCCTTAAACACATAGTGAACATAGGTGTTTATATGCTCAGAAGTAGATGGAATGATAACAACACCAGCTAACATTTATTCAGTATTATGTGCTAGGTTCATTGCTGAGAATTTTACATGGATTACCCTGAGGGGTAGGTGCTTTTATTATCCCCATTTTATAGGTGAAAAGACTGAGGGTCAGAAGTTAAATAACATCCCAAGATCATATAGTTATAAATAAATGAACTGAACTGTGATTTAGACTCAGCAGTGTGCTCCAGAGCCCACACCACTCACCATTCTGCTGCACCCAAATGAATGAATACCTCACGTGAGTTTCAAGTTTCTCTTTAGGTGCAAAAAGTACTCACTTGGCTAGGGAGATACTTTTCCTACTGAATGTATTCCTCTGTTTTCCCACTTTTGTTCCTTTCTGATATTTCTACTCCAGGCATCTGCCCCCAGCACAGCAAACGTTTTCTGAGATCCTTAACCAAGGAGAGACTTTTGGAAGCCAAACACTCAGGACCAAGACTCTGTATTGATTTGAGTATGACCCACCACATGTCTAAGAAGGTAGGACATCCATGAAGCTCTGAATTCCTGCTCACACAAGGGAGGTCCAGAAGGGAGCAGCTTTGACAAAGAGCATGACCACTTCCAGCCTCTGTATTACTAATTCTGTAGTAAACCAGCAAAAGTGTTTAGTTTTCTACACAGGGCTTCTCAGTTCCAAATTGTCTGTTATAAAGAATCAGGAAGGGAATCGATTCCCTTTGGTTTAGTCTGCAAAGTTTTGTCTGATCTTCTGTTTTGAGCCCCACCTCATTGTCTCGGTGTTCATGGTGTCCCCGGTCTAGATGGAGCCTTTCATGTTCAGTCCTCCAGAGGTGAAATCTCTACTGGGGGGAGGAATATTTGCCTAGTTGCATGTTGATGAGATGACCTGGTAGGAGGTCTTCCTGTAACATAGGTGTTTTAATCATTTTGCACTCACCCCATTGGTAAAGGAGGGCTTCCACCCTAGGGTTTTGGGGATGGCTGAAGAAAACACACTTGATGTTGGACAGATAAGAATGATAGCTGTTTATTAGTCACATGTACTCAGCCCGGGGGAGGATGACACTGCATGCCATGCAGGACCACATGGGATTACACTTGAGGACAGAATGAGCAACCAGGGGCTGTAGGAGGCAGGCTTTGTAGTATCATGAAGGTGGGGTACCCCTGGGTCCTGCAGGAAGATGTGATTAATTTGCTGGGACTAACTCCATGGGCCGGCAGGGAATTGAAACCCACTACTAGAGGATAAGCGGGAACCAAGCCTGGTCCCTTTGACAGAAATGATTGTTTAGCTGGGGGACTTTATCTAAGGGAGCAGAATTGAGAGAAGAACTTGCATTTATTTGGGCCTTTCAGGGCCCACCTGGTTTCACCAGATGTCTAGGAAACACACAGTATTGGGCCTTAATTTTTGGTCCAACCAGATTTTTCTGTTTGCCAACACCTCTGTCATATATGCTGGTGTTTGCGTGTTTTTCAGAAAAAGTAGGAGACTGAATTGGGCTTTGTACACGAACCTCTAAGTGTAGCCCTCTGAAATGGTCAACCAAGAATTTTCTACTCTTTATATTAATTGAGATATCAGATTAAATCAAATCCAAAGTGTTTTTTCTCTCCTGATCCAAATCAGGCCACATTGCGAAACTACCTTTCTGAAGGTGATGCCTCTGAATCAGGATGGAAAGTTAAAACTTCTGACCCTCTTATATCTCCTAGAGTTAGGGAGAAGGGGCCAATTTTATTTGATGGAGTATAAAACATGTCTGTGTCGTGAACTAACCTTTTAAAAATAAACAGTAAATATCACATGGTAAGATTTTAGATATGAGCTAAAAGAACAATTGCATATATCATATTAGATGTATATAAGGAAGGAGGGGGGAGTTCTCAGTCTTTCCATTAACTCACTATTTTGGGGCTAGTATCGTTACCTTAACTTCAATCGATAAGGTGTGTGCACTGTGGAGTGTAACATGCACACGCACGCATACCCATACTCTCTCCTGGAGTAAAAGGGGCCATGCTAGTTCATGAGATTTCTCAGAGTAGCATTCTGTGAACTTAATGAGTGACCATTTATTTTGTGTTATGTTATGTTATGTTATGGGTTTTTTTGTTTTGTTTTGTTTTTTTGAGAGAGAGTGCTTGAGCCGGGGAGGGGCAGAGAGAGAGGGAAAGAGAGAATCTCAAGCAGGCTCCACTCTGTCAGTGCGGAGGCCAACACAGGGCTCAGACTCATGAACTCAAGAGTCAAACGCTTAACTGACTGAGCCACCCAGGCGTCCCTAACCATTTGTTGGTAGTGAATTTAGAAGCAGTGGGCATGCTTCCAGTCTAAGTTGTCCTTATTTCTTTGAAGGAGTTAAGTAGACTGGCTGGACAGATCCGAAGGTTGTATGGTTCAAATAAAAAAGCTGACAGGCCATTTTGGATCTACCTCACTGGATTCCCATCAGACAGTCCCCTGTATGAAGAGTGTTTGAGGATGAATGATGGATTTTCTAGTTACCTGGTAAGCCTCATTTTGCATATTACTTGAAGTGTCATTTGAAAAGTAGATTGGTAATAGTAAATTTTTTTTACTTTTTCATATTTTAAAAAAAATACAGTAATTCTATATTTTCACTATTGCAGTCTAAAAAACTTTAGAATCTCTTATCAGTTCTTATATTTCTAAACTTTCATCCTTCCACTGCATTGGCAAACTAGTATTACCAGGTATCTAGGACTGTACTTTGTATTCCGTGTGTTGTATGCTAGACTCTTTAGTCTAGGAATGTTTTGGGGGAAATACTGTGATCCTTTCTTGTTCACAGTAGTGCAGAATTAGGGAATGTGAGTTGTAAGGGAAGAGAAAATCCTCATGAAAGTAATGTGGACTCAAGGTAAGTTTTAGGGAGCATTGAGTTACTTTTTATCTCTTTCCCTAGGGTCTCATGAATGTAATGATTGTAATACAGGCAGCAATCCAGAACCCTTCCTAAGAAGCGCCACTAAAAATGTCCTGTGTGTTTGCGTTAGGTAGCTAGGACTAGGCGGTGTGGACTTCCCTAGGGAGGTCTGCAGAGGCAGTGAGTTTGGGACGTCCCTGTGTGGTCCTGCAGTTAGTTGTCGCTGTTACTGTCTGAGCGTCCCTCCTCCGGTACAGCCAATTCCAGCTTTTCTTCACCGTGCGTGTTTTGTGGTTCTTGTATGTGAGCCCAACAGACCCCCTCTCAGGGCCACATGGTTCCCTTGCTTTCCCATCTTCATGCCTTTTATAGGTGATTTTCCCCATTTTCATTGCCTCTTCCTTTTGTATGTGTCAGTCTCACCTCCTTTCAGAAACCGAGTTCCGGCATTCCCTTCACTAGAAGGTTGTCACTGGTGGTGTCACTCCCTCATCTGTTGTCCTGGGGCGTGCTTCCTGTACATCTGCTAGGGTGTCCTATTACTTTCTGTCTCGTTTTCTAGGGTTGAATGTTCTTTCTACTTCCTCTCCCCAGCGAAGCACTTTGTGAGACCGATTGTCAGACATGTATCCCCCCTTGATGCACTGAGAGCCATGCCTAACAGAGAATAGGTGCCTGGTAACTCATTGCTGCAGTGTGGGCTGTGTCTTAACCTAGTTCACACTACATTGGGTTATTTACGTTTTTCAGCTAGACATAACAGAGGAAGACTGCTTTAGTTTATTTCCTTTGGAAACCCTCGTGTACCTGACTCCTGACTCAGAACATGGTATGTACTTTCCTGCATGGATTCATGTAGCACTTTGTTCTTAGCCCTGTGTTTGATTATTCCCTGTGTCAGAATTTATTAAAGCCACCCAAGGTATATCAAAAAACCAAAAGAAATGAACACTAATTGCATACCTCTTAAGGATGTATACCTCACTATGCTTTGCATATGTTCTACTGTGTGTGCACAGCTGCACAGATTTAGGGTCTGCAGCCTCACTGGAACCTGTGAGCTCCCTGGCAGTCTTTCCCAGTTTCCCTGGTCAGCTCCCCTCGTTGGCCCTTCTTGGATCAATGTTAGATATGTACTTTTTCCAGAAAATTAACTATTTCACAAACTTTTCAAATTTATTGGTATTAAGTTGATCTTAGTATTCTTTCATAATTATTTCACATTCCTCTGTAATTTTAATTTTGTCTCCTTTCTGAATCGTAATGTTGATTTGAATCGACTACCTTTTGTTCTTGATTAGATATGCCAAAGCTTGGTCTGTTGAGAAAATTAGAAAATCTATTACCTTTTTGTTTTCTATTTTATTAAATTTCTACTTTTATCATTAATAATTCTTTCCTTTTACTTTCTTTGGATTTAGAAATTATAAAACAGATTTGATCTCAATGGCCTTCATTTTTTCATTAGCTCTTGAAGATGTTGATCTAAACAAAGTTTACATCCTTGGTGGACTTGTGGACGAAAGCATTCAGAAGGTAAATGTACATTTTAGACCTAACGGCTATATTTTAAAAAGCGGGGCTTCCTTTCAGAGGCAGCTACCCTATCATAATCTTACCCAAAAGGCCTAAAAACTTAGAATAGGAAGAAGGAGCCTCACCTGCCTCGGTTGGCCCTCCTGCTTGTGAAGTTCCCTCTCTCCTAATCAGCGTTAGCGACCCTGACCTGGCAGTCCAGTCAGGAACTGGCATGGAGAGTGTTTGGTAATTACAGAAAGAGCTATTGTTGAACTCCTTTCTTTTCTCCTCTCTTCAGTTCTGCAAGGGTAACTCTGATCTTGACCAAGGAAGCATTGATTCAGCATTCTTGCCAGCTAATTGTTCTTTGTGAGAGAGGAGTTTGTTCCTTCTTAAGGCCGTCTTTTCTCCTGGCATAAGTTTTATGCTATAATCTCAATGTCAATAAGACTGTCCAGATTTCTTTTGTTGAGTTGGAATTTTATTGGAGCAATTGGAGTTTTGAAATATGTTTCTATTATACATATATTTGTTGAGATAATTGTTACTAGCTTATATTACCAACTAACATATTGCATATACAATAAATAACGATATAATAAAGTGTATGAAGAGAACTACAGTGAGAAATAAGTCTCCCTCCCATCCTTGTCCTATAGTCCCCCCAACCTGAGCCAGCCGCTGTTTTCTTGTGTATCCTTCTTGATATAACCTATGATCACACAAGTATTTGTGGTTATATTATGTATGTGTATTTTTTAAGATACGTGAGTATATTTTGGTTATTTTTTCATATCTGTAGAGATATACATACATATTTAATACAGATGATATGTAACTGAATTGCATTTATTATAAAAAAAAAGTCAGTGTTCTGGGGTGCCTGTGTGGCTCAGTTGGTGGAACATCTGACTCGGTTTCGGCTCAGGTCATGATCCCAGGGTCATGGGATTGAGCCCTGCATTGGGCTCTGTGCTGAGTGTGGAGACTGCTTAGGATTCTCTCTCCACCTCCCCCCTCAAATAAATAAAATGAAAAACAAAAAAGACCAGTGTTCCATGATTCTGTAGTGATAATCTAAAAAATAGGTTGTGGGATGGAGATAGAAGAATGCTAGAATGCTAGACTAGGTGTTAAGGGTACCTGGGTGGCTCAGTCAGTTAAGCATCTGACTCTTGATCTTGGCTCAGGTCATGATCTCATGGTTCGTAAGATGGAGCCCTGCATTGGGCTCTATGCTGACAATGCAGAGCTTGCTTGAGGTTCTCCCTCCCTCTCTGTGTCCCTCCCCTGCTTGCACATACTCTCTTTCTCTCTCAAAATAAATAAACATTAAAAAAAAAAAAAGAATGCTAGCTGTTAAATGAAAAATACATAATAGCATTGAAAAATCTTTATTTTGTTACTCCCAGTGTAATCACTGATTCACAGAACTGATTGAACAAAAAGTGTAGGGGGACTGGCTATTCACGTGGTCTCCCAAGTGTCACCCCACATGTCACAAAGGCAAAAATGTACCATTACAATGGAGGTCACCATTTTACAAATGTTCAAACTTAGAATCACTAATGGTGACATTATGTGCCTCCCAACGTGATGGAATCTCACCCGGAAAATATTCTTACTGAAAAATGTTTAAACTGCATTTAATCATGAAGAAACAGGATAAGAGGCATTCTGCAAGACGCTTGGACCACATCTTCACAAAAAGCCCATGTAATGAAAACTAAAATAGTTAGGGAGCCGTTCTAGATTCAAAGAGATTAAAGAGACATAACAGCCAAATGCAGTCTCCCACAGCAGAGTGTCAGCTCCTTTTTTTGAAGCAGAAAAGTCTAGAAGGTCAGTGAGCAGGGTATGATAATAGATATGCAGTTTTAACACATTGTCTTCTCTTATGTCTCCAGTAGTATTTAAACTGAAAAAGAATTGGCACAATGGTTTGTCAGATGTATAGAACTTTTTGGTTGTTACTGGAGAGTTTGGCTTCCTCACGGAAAATATGCTGAGAACATTTCTTTGAGGGGAATCATTTTATCTTTACACGTTCAGAGAACAGAAACTAGACTGTGAGCTCTTCCAGAGCAGCATCCAAGTCTCTTACTAACTTTGAATTCTTATACTCTATTTCAAAATGATTGTAAAAAAGGAGACTTAAAAAAAAATATATAGACCCTATATGCAATTCTTCAAAGAAGTCTTTTGAGCAGCCGTACCTTTATCTTACCTGAATTGTATCACGTAACACATTTTGGAAAATCTCTCTTGGAATTGTTTCATGTGAGTCTGAGAAGCAGGTAGTCCAGTGGCAAGTGCTAGGCCTGCTTCATGCTGGTTCAGCTGGTCAGACCATACTGTCCATGGCCAGTCGATCATCACACCATGGGAAAGGACAGTGACAAGCTGGAACAAATTCAGATGAGTTTGGCCAGAATGATGAAGGCGACAGAACTGAGACTGCCAGAAGAATGCACAGGGCATGATCCCTGCTGTGGAGTACCTGAATGGCCGTCTTGTGGAAGAGACATTTTACTTGCTTGGTGTGGTCCTAGGGGAAGGAACTAGGGCAAATGAGTGGAAGGCTCAGGGAGAACAGAAAATTTGGCTCACTATCAAGAATTTCCTATCAACCGGTACTGTCAACATTGGAATAGGTTTCCCCAGGATGCATGGAACTCCCTGTCACAAGGATTGTCCATTTAAGGACAGAGGCCACTTGGAAGAAAGGCCATAGAGGATAGAGCAGCATTGGATGGATGATCAGAATACAATAGTTAACTATTGAGGTCCCTTCCAGTAGTTAACTATTCCCAGTAATCTAAAGCTTTCTCTTTAATCCTGAAATTGTGAGTAGGTAGATGATCTTTCCGGAACTTCTTATGAAGTGGCAAATAGAATTTAAATTTGCATTCATGACTCAGGGACATCTTTAAAAGGATATTAGGTATTGTACTCTGATCCTAAATGGCCTCATAATTTTGAGGGTTTTGAGTTTTTATGACTGCTTTCTGCAGTTTCCAGATCCCATCCTTTTACTTGGGCTGAGTGCTCTCACACTTTAATGCTGTTTTGTATCTGACTTGAATCCTATCTCCCTTTTCTCTAATTTGCTGCTGCCAAATGGCTACGGGCCGAAAACTCCAGATCTCCAGAATTACATCTTTACTGAGTTAGGGTCAGGAGTGTTCTCCTCTGGTTGATTAGGTTGCTTGAACTTTTGGATGCAGACTGTGGCTGCAAATATGCCTCTTTTTACTTATTTCCTTCTTGGTTGTAAATAGTAGTAAACGGAAGCTAGTAGATAGATGCCTCCCAAGTAAGTGAGCTGTCTGCTGCACAAGCCATTTTTTACTTAGGTAACATTTCTTCATTCTTTGCAGTTTCTTCCATTCTCCATAGGCTACTGATTTTTAATACTTACCATTTATGATTACAGATAGAAATTGGAGTGGTGGTTAATGGGGATTCTCATAATTTGCTATGCATATTACAATGAGAATATCTCTATCATTTTCACAAGAAAAATAAATTTAACTGTGATTTACAGAAGGTGACATTTCAAAAAGCCCAAGAACACTCTGTCAAGACAGCCCGCCTGCCAATCCAGGAATACATGGTCAGATGCCAGAATGGGAAAAACTATCATTCAGAGATCTTGGCCATCAATCAAGGTACTGCTTACATGGCCCACACCTTTTTTTTTTTTTAAGTTTACTTATTTAACTTGAGAGAGACAGACAGCGTGAGTAGGGGAAGGGCAGAGAGAAGGAGAGAGAATTCCAACCAGGCTCCATGCTGTCAACACAGAGCCTGATGTGAGGCTCAAACCCATGAAGCTGTGAGATCATGACCTGAGCCGCAACCGAGAGCCAGACACTTAACCGACTGTGTCACCCAGGCACCCCTTACATGGCCCACACTTAACACATGTTAATTCTGGTGCTGCTTCTTTGCATTATGTTTACATGGAAGTGGCCCTCGAAGCAGTACGCTGTGACTAATGTTGCTCAGATTTTTATTGCATGCACTTTGTAACCAGTATTCTGGCCTCTCAGAAGCACTTTGCATTTTCTTCCTGGATCCCAACTATGTTAAAGATAGTTGAAATTGTCCCCTTGGCCTACAATGCGCTGTATTCAACCCATCATTCAACAGTGAATTCCTATATGTCCTTCAGAATTCAGTCCAGGGGCATCTTGGAAGCTCCCTTCCCCCTCTCAGCCATTCAAGGACCCTCCTTTGCATTCCCATCCTACTGTTTTCCTCTCAGTGCTGCGGCGCTGTCCTCTCTCGTATCTCTCCGTGTAGGCTGAGGTCCTTGTGGACAAGAAGGTCCGTGTGTGGTGCAGAGTAGGTTTGTTGAAGTAAATATTCCCGAACACCCTTTCCCTCATCAGTCATTTACTGCTTCTTTTACCTCAGTGTGGTCACTATTTTCTTTTTACCCTTCTAACAGTCTTTGATATCCTATCTGCATACTTTGAGACTCAAAACTGGCCAGAAGCATTGAAGAAAGGAGTTTCTTCCAGAAAAGGCTACGTTCTTCAGAACTCAGTGGAGTGATGGACAGACAGCCTAAGGGGCTGTAAGAGGGGAAGCTGCTGGAGGTGCCTTGAATGAAAAGCAGAGCAGAGGGTAATGATGGCACACACTTGCCTTTACTTGACATCTGGGATCTTCACTAGAATATAAGTTACTAATAACAGGGACCACATTTTATGCTCTTTTCTATCTCCCAGAGTGCCTGGCTCACAGGAAGAGCCCAGATATATGACTAAGTAAAAAGTTTACATAACCAGGAATTAGCCCAAAACTACATGGCTTTGGATGTATTAATTCATCTTTTATATACCTATTTGTGAAATACCTACGCTTTCGAGATAGCTTAAATAATTAAATAATTATTATTACGTCAAGAGTTTAATTTCCACTCAATTGGTATCATAAAGTTGTAGCACTTTCTCCAGCCTCCTGTGTTCCTGGTGATTTTCCCCAACTCAGTGATTCACTCTATGTGTTCTGCAGGATCCTAACCCAGCCCTGCTTTAAGCCCCCATAGCACTTTGTTCCCACTTGTGGCTCCCACTGTGTCCCTCCTGCTCGGAGTATGGGAGTGGAGGGTTTCTCTCTTCCTAAAGGTAGCTTCCTAACAGGACACTTTGTGGGAGTATCTTTCTGAGCCTTGTACAAACTAGTTTCTTCATACATATTTATAACCAACAGGCAGAATTGAAGAGCAAAAACACAGACACATTGGCAAGTCTTAACTTAAAAATAACCAGAAAAGAAAAAAACAAAACAAGATACGTTGCGTCTGACACAAGCATGTTGGATAACATTTCATTACACAATCTCAGTGATCCCTTTTCAGGTCTTAGTTACATACAGTTGCTTCAGTTCTGGCCAGCTTGGGTTAGTAAACTTGAAAGCTAAGCTCTTAGCAAATTCAGAGAATGTATTCTGTATCTCAAAAGAACCAAAAGCTTATTTCTCTGCTCTCTCCCCTCCCTTTCATAATTTAATCCTTCAGGAGCTATGATCACTTGATAAATTACATCAGTGTCTTTGTATTAAAAACAGCCCAGTCTTTCTATATTATATATAGGAATATATAATGCTCCTTAGTCTTTATCACCGTATTGAATGAGTTCTATAATCTCTGTCATCCAGAAGAGACCTCCTATGGCTGGGCTTCAGGGATGACTCTTAGACTCTCAGGGAGGTCTCTGACCTTGGAACCCTAGCCTGGCTCCTCTGCCAGGCTTCATTGTTACCTCTAAAGGCTTTCCTTAAAATATCAAACAACATGGAAGAATTTCCTCTCCAACTCTATCACTTCTACCATTTTTTTTAAAAACCTAGGCAGGTAGTGCTGGACTTGGATTCAGAAATCCTTATCAGTGTTATTTACAGAACAAAAAGCTGGAGATACCCAAAATACCCTAAAACATGAAAATGAAATATTCTGGAACGATTTCGTTTTTAATAGCAATCATGTAAGAAATACATTAAATGTTGGTTGAAGTGGACTAAGTAGATTACAAAGTAGTATATAAAGTATAATCCTATAATTTCAATTTAAAAAATATTCACATACACTATGTCTATAGTGCATTTGCTTCTTATAGTCTATGTATTCTAATTTTCTATGTTGAACATGTTTTACTTTTATCAGAAAATAATTGTTATTTTAATGCTTCCAGTTTATTATAAAAGCTGCACTTCAGCAAAACTAAAGGAGTTAACACCAAATAAACCATAATGCTTTTAGTAAACTTTACTGTAAAGAAAAAATGCATTATTTTATAATGATTTTTGTCACCCACAAGAACAAGGGTGGCAACTAGTAACATATTTATAAAAATATTTTATTTAGGACTTTAATAACACAATGTGTACATTCACATTTTGCCTTCTGAAGGTTTAATGGGGAGAGAGAGGTTCACCTGAAAAAAATTTTCCCTAGGAAACCCATAGTCTCTTAGGTCAACTGACCCATAAAAAATTCCATCTAACTTTCTGCCAGTCTGGAGAAGATTTGTTTTCTTTGATCTGATGTCATATGTTCACAAGCTTCTAAAATGTTTGCCAAAATTAAGGTCTGCTGAATGGTTTTTGCCTTAACCCATATTCTTCCATTCATTCCAAATACTATCTCCAGTGGGTAGAGTTTTCCCACTTCCTGTAGGATTTCACAGTCTGGAGCCAGCAGCCTGGTGAGGAAAAGAAAAGAAAATGAAACTTAATAAAGTGGTAGGATGTGATCTGACTGTCCTTTAGAAGAAGACTTAGTTTCTGGACAGTTCTCCATAGTTATGCAAATCCCCATCAATATTGTCCAAGAAAAAGGTACATGATATTTGCGTCCCCTTTCATCCACGCACACCTACCAGTTTACCATTGGTCACAATAGTGGATTATATCCTCTACAAAGAAATCAAAATCCCTGTGTCACCAACTTTACAGAAAATCTATATGAAGTTCTTCTACACCATCAGAGCACCTTAGTTCTAGGCTTTAGAACTGCAGCTTTTGTATTATCTTGGTGCTAAAAGAACCAGCTTATTTTCCTGACCACGTAGACCACGTATTTCCCAGTATTGAATTCAGTACTGGGAGAGAAGCACTGACTTTCAAACCATAAGGGTGCTGCTTGTCTGTCTTGAATTTTGTCCAAATCTGCAGAGTAAGTAGCAAAGACTGGCATGTAACACTGAGTTCTGAAGCTCAGTGGTTCTAGGAGTAAAACTCTTTAATAGGACATCACTTTGGGTAGGTAAAGGTCTAAACACTTAACAGAATCTACCTCTGGGAACTATTAAGTCTATCAGGACAGAACAACAGGACCCTTATGGGAATGCTTCCATAAGCTTAAAGAGTACATCAGCCTACCTGCATCTGACCCCCATTTACTAGAGAAATCTGGTGATTTTGTACAATTGTAGGTTGCATCTATATGCAACCTAAAATGATGATTTAATTTAAATGACTTAGAAGGAGGAAAGGCCAGTTTTCACATCTGATTTTCTGGGAAAGAAGCCCAAGACTCCATATTAACACAAAAACTATACCACCAGATACATCTGAATTTAATGTATTTACATGAAGGGAAGATGGGACTAAATGCATGAATTTACAATGGTGTTAAAACGGATACTGATTTTCAACTTTGAGGAGATTCAGACATCGTTACAAAGAATCCAATTCCAAAAATCAGTCAGCTTTCCAACAAGGTATAATTATAAAAGAAGACCGTCAAGGCAGAAAGCAGTAGGACTTACTTTCTAATTAAGCCCAAAGTCACTTTAAAAAGCAGACCATCCTGGCCAATCACACCCATTCCATTGGCTCGTCCACAGCTGTCAATACAGACCATCTCTGGTTCCATATCTTTATTAGCAACCACAAATTGGCCATAGATGAGATCTCCAACCTAAAATGATGATTTAAAAACAGTTCATTTTCTCTCAACAAATCATTCTATAGGTGCTGCTACCGGTTCTTTCCCACTGGCAGCATGCCTGCCATGTATACTTCTGTGCCTAAGGGACCAACTATCCTCCAGAATACCCAGTCACTCGAGTTGACTCTTTAAAAAGGCAACATTAGCCAAGTGTGTCCTCCCTAGACTGGGAGCTATCTCAAAGACAAGAGAACATCCTCTAGGGTTATGCCATCCAATATGGTAGCCATTACCCATATGTAGTTATTTAAACTTACATTTAAATTAATTAAAATTAGATCTTTAAAATTCAGTTCCTCAGTTTCATTAGCCACATTTTTTAAAAAGTTTTTTTTTTTGAGAGGGAATGCACATGCATGCGTGAGGGTGGGGAGATACAGATTGAGAGAGAGAGAGAGAGAGAGAGAGAGAGACTGAGAGAATTGTAAGCAGGCTCCACACCCAGCATGGAGCCTGATGCAGGGAGGGCTCAATCTCATGACACTGAGATTATGACCTGAGCCAAAATCAAGAGTCCATGGCTGAACCCACTGAGCCACCCAGGTGCCCTTCATTAGCCACATTTCAATGCTCAACAGCCAAAGTGGCTAGTGGCTACTATATTAGTACAGATGTAAAACACTAGCATCACAGAAAGTTCTCTTAGAAAGCACTACTCTAGGGAGTTACAGAAGATTAATAGCAGAAACTCCAGGCATGTAAATTATTCAAAGCAACATGGAACAATGGTAATTCATTGGTACTTCATGCAAGATTTACTTAATCTCCTAGAGTTGAACTTCAAAATGATGAAACTAAAGGAATGGAGAAGAATGAACTTGTTCTGTTACTGTATCTACTATTTGTTGGTGACTAGCAACTAAAGAGGAACAAAACATTCTTTGCATTTCAGAAGCATCTGGTCTTGGAGGGCAGTGGGGATGTACATATAAATAACAAAGTTCACTGAAGACTTAATCCAGTAAGCGCTAGAGTAAAGTTATAAGGAAGGTGACTGTAGATGAGGAACGGTTTCACAGAGATGGTGGTGTTTAGCCTGAGTCTCAAAAGATGAGGGTGTCCACAGGCTAAGGGGACAGAGCGATCAGACAGACAGAGCAATCCAGACAGAGGAAACAGCATGAACAAAGGTACAAGGGCAGGGACTTAGGAGTTCAGTAGCGGAATTTTTTAAAATAAGATATATTTATTTATTCTGAGAGAGGGAGAGAGAGTGCGAATAGGGGATGGGCAGAGAGAGAATCCCAAGCAGGCTCTGCACAGTGTGGAGGCCGACATGGGGCTCAAACCCACCAACCATGAGATAGTGCCCTGAGATGAAATCAAGAGTAGGATGCTTAACCAACTGAGCCACCCAGGCACCCCTCAGTAGTGCTATTAAATAGTTCGGAGTGGTTCAAGCATGGCTGTGTGGAGGACAGAATTACAGATACGTGAAGACGTGAAGACTTCTGGAGTATAATGCCAAGGAAATCTGTAGGCTTTAAAGAATGCTTTTTTTTTTTTTTTTTTTTTTTTTTGGTAAGGGGAATGTATGAGGCTGTCAGCTCTCAAAAGCCTGGATAGAAGAGCAAAAATGTAGTGCAGAGCCTACTTGGGATTCTCTCCCCCTCCTTCCCTTTCTCTGTCCTTCCCCCACTCCCACATGCATTCTCTCTCTCACGCTAACTAAATAAATAATTTTTTTTTTTTTTTTTTTTAAAGAGATTGCTAACCAATTCTGGTCAAAAAGTACCTAAGGTCTGATCTTGCAAAGTGGAGGGATACAGGAATGAATGTGCAGAAGATCAGAGATAGAATCAAACAGGATCAGTAAGATTAAGCAACTAAAGACGTTAATGAAAAGGGGCAAAGACACCACCAGATTCCTGGCTTGGGTGGATAGAAAGAGTGTGGCTATACTGCCTGAAGAGCCCAAACTGAAAGCCTGAGATAACAAGACTGCTCCTCTGCCAGCTCCAAGCAGAGCCTGTGGGGAAACAGTGATGTGTTTGAAGTGGTGAGATGGCATCCCCAGGACTTAATAATCAGGATGGATGGGTGGTAGATAGGGCAACCTAGAAGACTTAATCCTCCTTCCTTCTCAAGCCTATGGCCTACTTCCTTGTCCGTGGATGGACGTGACAAATAACAACAGAGAGAACAGACAGCGACTTTCAACTGAGAAGAGATGAAACAGCCCCCAATATAGCAAATGTAAAATAAGCATGTGACTCTAGTCCTAGAGGTGGAGTACTGGAAAAAACTTAGAGCCTGAAGTGATTACACAGATGTTCAGAGATCAACCCAAAGTGAGAAAGTAAGTCATGCTTAAGAGACAGTTCAGGTAGCCTTCTAGATATTTGAGTGTTGCTGGATATTTTGATGCTTTTCTTACTTTGAAAGCAAAGGTCCCCCATCATTACCTGCACATTTGGTCTGTTTCTTTTAGTTGCACCTTCAAATGCCAAGTAAGACAAAGAAGCTGGCTCACTCCCTCCAACGTCAACTTTGAATATGTCTCCAGATTTAGCTGTCACTATGCCAATCACATGGTCTCCTTTCACTGGAACATACTACAGAAGAAAACAGAATGAAGGGACAGCCATAAACGACAATCATTTCCACAATATCTTAAAAGATATCTTCAGCAAGCCCTTAGTGGTTACTTCACTGTTTGTCATTAGAGATATTTAGACAATATTGTGAAATTCAAGTCTACAAATTAATACAAATCTACAACAAACTTCATCATATGTTACTTTCAGTAAAAGAAAATCAATCATAAACTCTCAGGTTTACCGCTTCTAATATTCTGTTCATATCAGCCAGTATCCCATACCTACCTCTTGTATCCTTATTCAAAGCAACATGGTCTAGCGCTACAGGGCGTCCTCAAAACCAAAGAGGGCTATTTCATTGTCAGACAATTTTTCCCATATTAAAGTCCTTACTTATTCTAAGAGAAATTCAACTCCCTGTGACACCCACGCATTGGGGCCTGGTTTCGCCCTTTGGGACCCCAAAAGATAGGCCTGGTGCTCCTCTCTGATTCTGAAGGCAATGACGGGTGTCTTAACACCTCTTACACGCCAAGACTTCCAGTCTCCTTTCTCTCCTGGCCGCTCTTCTCGGGCCACGTTCCATTTGTTCAGAGTCCCTCTAAAGGGGACGCAGAGGTGGGTACAAACCTACCGTGGCTCTAGACTAGCATTAACAGAGGGGTCCAGGGCCCCATCCCTGCCTCTTTCCAGAGCGGGGATATCACTTTCACGGCCGTACCACCTCTCCAGAGTACCAACTCACCCGTTTCTGCTGCGAGTCCACCCAGTAAACGCCGCCGCCGCCGCCGCCGCCGCCGCCGGGCTCCTTGTAACGGAGGCGGCCGCACTTGGTGACCAGGAGGCGGTCGCCACAGCGCCGCAAGCCGGGGCCGCACACTACACGCACCCGGCAGCGCACCCCCGCATTTAGGCGCAGCGGTCGCTCTCCAGCACCGCCTGGGCCTTCTGCGTCCTCCTGCTCTGGCAGCAGCAGTTCCTCACCCGGCAGCACCACCTGACCTAGCACAGTGCGCGCCGCCCGCGCCCTGCCTCCCGCGAGGGATTCGGTCGAGACAGCCACCACCTCGGCCATACCCGGAGCCACCGAAAGCAACTTCCAGCTTCCGCTTCCGGCTCCGCGTCCAATCTCCAGCCTGCCCAAGGCTTTCCGTTTCCGGTAGCAGACGTCTATCGGAATCGAACCCCTAGGTCCACGAAACCTGTTAGCTGTGGGCTGGAGGGTCCCGCCAAGGTGGCTGCAGTTATGTCTCTAACCCGCCACCTATCTTGCAATCTTTCTGCAAATCGGTACTCGAAACACGCAGCTTGAGTCGATGGCAGATCCTTCACTTCCGATGTCTCGGGTCGTCCCGCAGGCTACAAGACGCTCCTACGTGTGGTTCCGTGGGAACCTTGGAGACGGAGCAGAGAGGTTCGTGGGTTGGTCCTTTCCTTCCGACTCCGCCCTCCGATGGAAAAGTATTTTCCTTTTCAAAAAAAAAAAAAAAAAAAAAAGGTGGTTTCTAGATATCAAGTCTGTGAAAACAAAGAGAAGAATAAAAAAATTTAAAAAAGGTATTTGTCTTGCTCCCATTTGTCTCTGCTAGGCTGTCAGCTAGTTCTCTCATTTTTTGTAGCCCAGGGTCTTAAACAGCTAGTACTTGATGAATGAATGCATGTTAACACTTTGGTGTGTATTTCTCCCCAGACTTTCTTCCCCTGCAAATATACAGATGCCCATGCGCATTTCCACATAATTGGGCTACCCCTACAGGGTCCAAGGAATTAGTAACTGCGATTAAGTCCTTGAGGCTACATTCCATGGAGTACAACTGAATTCCAAATCCATAGCACATCAGGACTGCTCCTACTTTTAGGTTCTTGCTTGAAATCAGTTTCCTCTGTAAACTGTTTCCTCTGTAAAGCACCTCCAGTTTGCGCTTGGTCAGACTCCGCAGCATGGCTGAGCTGAGGACTGGGAGGGATTGGCTTCCAACATGAGTTATTAAATTTGGGGGAATGTTTAAGACAGATCATCTCTAACATACCCTCCAAAATGCTGACGAGTCAACTGATTAAGAGAATTAAAACGCCAAGTGAAATGTAGCTTTTGTTTCGCAAACTGTAGAAAACATTCTTGGTCGGTTACCCCCGCGGCGGGGATGGTGTAGATTGTTTTTTCTCTCCTCCCCAATCCAACCCATTTCTAGAGGCTCTGGAATCAGTAGGTATCCGGTGACCAAGAGCACCTGACCCGCGGCTGGCCCACGACCATGCTCAAAGTGAGGTCAATGGCCTCCGGTATAGGCCGGGCTGAGAGAGAATTCGGGAAACGAACCCAAGATTGTCCCTTGCGCACCCCATGTTGACAAAGAAGTCTCTGGAAAAAAACTTGGCCCAAACCTGGCTAAAGAAGTCTTCAGAGTCCACTACCCTGTGAAGGCATTCACGTGGGTACCCTCTTGGCGCATTCCTAAGTCAACAGAAGAATTCGGAGACCCTGGACGTGGCCTGAAAGCCGGAAGCCGGACGCGGAGGGGCAGGCCGCAGCCTCCTCTGGGCGGGGCCCTCCCGACACGCCCCAGGAGGGCGGATCCAGGGGGCGGGGCGCGCGGGAAGGACGCCGGGCTTTGAACCGCGTGCAGCCATGGCTGTGCTTCGCTGCCTCGGCGTTCTGCGGCCGCTGGTGAGCGAGAGCGGTGGGCAGGGCCCTCGGAATGCTGAGGTCCGTCGCGTGCGGGCGAGTGGGGAGTCCAGACCTCCAGCGAGTATGGGGAGCCTGGGTCCTCGCAGCGGCCACAGACTTCCGTGACGTGCAGGTCTGGCCTTGGGGTCCGGTCGGGTCGCGGGTACGAAGTTCGCGTTTCCAAATAGCGCGTGCTGTCGTTTCTGGATGTAAAAATGGCCGTGGGACTGGGGAATGCATAGGAGGCCGGGCCCGTGCAGTTAACGCAGGCCTTCCTGTGTCGAGAGCAACCTTAGCTGTAGGCCCCTAGGTGGGGGCTTCCCGGCAGCTCGGCGCAGGCTGATTAGGTCGGTTCCCTGTTGCGGGGGCTGCCCACTTGGAGCCTGTACTGTAAGGTCGGCCCCGCCTTCGATTAGCTCTGGCTTCCGCCTTCCACTTCTCAGGCTTTTCATCCGTTAAGTTATCAAATTGATCTTTGGAAAGGTTGGACCTGACAGCCTTCTCGACGATTTCCCAAAACCTCCTCTTTAGAAATCTTTGCGACTTAGCAGGTCTCCCTGTTCTGACTACTACTCATCAAGTATAACTATATGACAGGGATCTCATGCTGAAGAGTAGGTATACAGAAATGCCCCCAAATCCCTGTGGTGGTATTAAAGAGGTTTAAAAAAAAAATCTTTGCGACTTGAGAAGCTGGAAAAGTAACATGTCATGGTTGCTTTTGTTTGTTGACTGGTGAAATTGGGCCATTTTTGTTTTTTCCTTTCAATCAACACTAGTTGAGCATTTGCTCTGAGCCAGGAAGTGAGCCAGGGAGTCAGCTGAATCATGGACCCTACCCTGAGGGAGCTAACTGTCTCCACATGAAAATACTGAGGGCCAAGGTGACTGTAATAACCTGATTAGGGTGTCAGTCACAAGGGTAAATAGGGAAATGGTTAAGTGTATGTGGGAGAAAGGTGGGAGTCAGGATAGGTATCCCAAAGGAAGTGATATTTGAATGAACCTTTTCAGATTTCTTTTAGTTTACTGGTTTCTAAAAATTACAAATGAACTGCATTCTGATTTATATACAGAGATTAAGAACCCATGTAAGTATTGTTAGTATCGTTATTCAAGTAAAGAATTTAAATGCTCACAATTATCACTTTAAATGAGTCTCCTTGCTACAGATACTTTTTTTGCTACAGATGTATTTTTTTTTAATGTTTTATTTATTTCTGAGAGAGAGAGAGAGAGACAGTGTGAGCAGGGGAGGGTCAGAGGGAGAGGGAGATACAGAATCTGAAACAGACTCCAGGCCCTGAGCTGAGCTGTCAGCACAGAGCCTGACTCGGGGCTCGAACCCATGAACCGTGATATCATGACCTGAGCCGAAGTCGGACACTTAACTGACTGAGCCACCCAGGCGCCCCTTGCTACAGATGTTTTTAATCACAAATAATCAAATCACAAATAATTACAAATAACAAAAAACTAAAGAGAGTTTTAAAGAGTGTAAGAGTAGCAGATGTAAGGGACAGCCATTATGCCTAATACTGAGATAGCACATCTCAGGAAGCCTCTCCCTGCTGTCCAGGACTGACTGAGTGAGTCCTTGTTGGAGACAACATGGTCATGGCTCATTAAATGGGAAGAAGTCACTGGGAACCTGTGCCGGTGGAACTTGCTTAGAAATCCACCCTCCAGAACTTGCTGGCACTTCTGTGGTTCTGGGGAAAGCTATTTCTGGGGAAGTGTCACCTGGAAGCCCCTGTTACAAAACTGCCTGATAAGGTGCTATGGAAAACTTCTGGGTGCTTCTGGCCACCAAGAGAAGCATGAGCAGATACTAGAGAAGCTGCCACGGTGCAGGAGTGTGCCACAGAGTGCACTGGCACCAGGAAGCAAAACCTATTCTTCCTGAAATGCTTCTGCAAAGCCTTCTACCTACAAAGCTTGTCTTCATGTTAGATAGGAAAGGAAAAATGTTTTAAAGGCCCAGATCCATTTTCTCAGAGCAGGCGGTAAAAGTGAGTTTAGACCATTGTGGCAGTACTTTGATTACTGGCTCAAGGTCTCATCAAATTGTGAGATCCACAAACTTGTCAGTAACAGCAGTAGAGTTGGCCCAGGACCAGGTGGCTCCACTGATGAATTCTACCAAACATTTATTTTTAAATTAAATTTAATTTAGTTTTTAATCAATCAGTTAATTATTTTTTAGTTTTTAAATACAGTTTATTGTGAAGTTGGGTTTCCACGTAACACCCAGTACTCATCCCAACAAGTGCCCTCCTCCATGCCCATCACCCATTTTCCCCTCTCCCCAATCCTGCATCAACCCTCAGTTTGTTCTCAGTATTTAGGAGTCTCTTATGGTTTGCTTCCCTCCCTCTCCTTAACTATTATTTTTCCTTTCCCCTCCGCTATGGTCCTCTGTTAAGTTTCTCCTGTTCTACATATGAGTGAAAACATGGGGTATCTGTCTTTCTCTGCCTAACTTATTTCACTTAGCATAACACCCTCGAGTTCCATCTACGTTGCTACAAATGGCCAGATTCCATTCTTTCTATTGCCTTTCCATTGTATAGATAAACCACATCTTCTTGATCCATTTGTCAGTGGATGGACATTTAGGCTCTTTCCATGATTTGGCTATTGTTGAGAGTGCTGCTATGAACATTGGGGTCCATGTGCCCCTATCCATCAGCACTCCTGTATCCCTTGGGTAAATTCCTAGCAGTGCTATTGCTGGGTCATAGGGGAGTTCTATTGTTAATTTTTTGAGGAACCTCCAATGTTTTCCAGAACAGCTGCACCAACAGTTTAAGAGGGTACTCATTTCTCCACATCCTCATCAACATCTGTAGTCTCCTGATTTGTTCATTTTAGCCACTCTGACCGGCATGGGGTGGTATCTCAGTGTGGTTTTGATTTGTTTTTCCCTGATGATGAGTGACATTGAGCATCGTTTCATATGTCTGTCGGGCCATCTGGATGTCTTCTTTGGAGAAGTGTCTGTTCATGTCTTCTGCCCATTTCTTCATTAGATTATTTGTTTTTTAGGTGTGGAGTTTGGTGAATTCCTTATAGATTTTGGATACTAGCCCTTTATCCAATAGGTAATTTGCAACTATCTTTTCCCATTCCGTGGATTGCCTGTTAGTTTTGTTGATTGTTTCCTTTGCCATGCAGAAGCTTTTTATCTTGATTAGGTCCCCACAGTTCATTTTTGCTTTTGATTCCCTTGCCTTTGGAGATGTGTTGAGTAAGAAATTGCTGCAGTTGAGGTCAAAGAGGTTGTTTCCTGCTTTCTCCTCTAGGGTTTTGATGGTTTCTCTGTCTCACATTCAGGTCCTTCATCCATTTTGAGTTTATTTTTGTGTATTCTACCAAACATTTAAAGAATATCCATTGTTTGCCAACTCTTTCGAAATAGAAGGGGAGAACACATACCAATGCATTCTGTAAGGCCAGTATCACCCTGGTATCAAAACCAAAGATACCACCAGAAAAGCAAACTACAGATTAATATCCCTTATGAATATAGACACAAAATCCTCAACCAAATATTAGCAAACTAAATCCAGCATTCTATAAAAACGGCTATACACCATGACCGAATGGGATTTATTCTAGGATTGTAGTCTTTTAACATCTGAAATCAATTAATATACCATACCCAAGGGCAAAAGCCACATTATTACCTGAATAGATTTAAAAAAAAAAAGGCATTTTAAAAAGCCAGCACCCTGTCATGATGAAAACACTCAATAAACTAGGATTGGAAAGGAGCCTCCTCAACCTAAGAAAG